GAGCACGCACGCATACGTGTCGCGTCTGGGACATGAACAGCACAGTCAGCCATGTGTGACCCAGCTGGCTTAACCATGACGCCACCAGCTAGCCCTCGATAATGAATTTAATGATAATAACCAAAGTAACTGTGACCAACATCTGCTCTTTTAATTCCCGTATTAACCCTCGGAATGCGGGAGGGGATTACCAGACTCATTTTAAGGTGGGGAAACCGGGCGTGGTAGGTAACCTGCCTACGCGCACCAAGTAACCAGCAGCGCTGCGACTTGGACCCAGGTAGGTCTTGACCCTGGGGCCTGTGGTCTGGAGCTCAGCTCTAAATTTATCGGATATTTACAACCCCACATTTAGATGAAGGAATGAAGATTCTAGAAGGCAGCATCCCCAGCTTGTTCACACAGTCAGGAAGTGGCCATCTTGGGACCCAGTGCGAGTAAGCAAATATTCACGCTAACAAATGCAAAGTGACAACAGACAAAGGCTACGGAGGAGCCCAGGGTGCCGGTGAAAGCTGACGTGGGGCAGGATTTCTAATGGCGCCACGGACGTCTGGAACCAGAAGAGTCTGCTGTGGGGTGGCCTATGCCTGGAGGACAGCTAGCAGCACCATGGCCTCTACCCACAGATGCCAGTATACCCTCTCCCCCTTGTGGTGACAACCAAAGGTGGCCAAATGTCCCTGGTCACCATCGCCCTCGGCTGCGAGCGGCTGCAGCAGAGCCATGGTGATACGTGTCACTAGCGTGTCCAGGCTTCCCAACTTTCTGCCTCCTAGCAACGCAATGAGCACAGCAGCCAGCTGTGCACACGGCGACTGCTCTGTCAGCACGGTGCCAGTGCTCATGCCTAGACTCCCGATGAGTCCGCAGGTCCGCCCTAGGAGAGGTGCGATTCCTGTTTAATTTGCTGTAGGGCACGTGTACTTGCTGGAGAGACTGGGAAAGAGAAAAGGAGAAAACACCCCCTAGGGCGATGGCCACACTGCCCCGCCTGTCTCTTCTTAGGGTTTTGGACACACATGCAAAGGTGCCTGGCATGTTTTTCAAGCTGCTTGGTCCAGGACTCAACTGTGTAGTCAGCCATGTGGGAACCAGGCACCTTAGCCGCCACGCCACCCACTGGCTCCAGGAGGTACTAATCTTTTTTTTTTTTTTTTTAAGAGAGATTTTTGTTGTAGGGCATGTGTGCTCGCCAGAGAGACAGAGATACAGAAAGTGAGAACTCCCCTCCTGGGAGATGGCCACACTGCAATCCCTTCTCCATTCTCCTCTGGAGATTCTGGGCACATGCGTCTGGCATGAGTTTTAAGTCACCAGGTCCAGAACTTGAACCGCGGTTGACTAAGCGGGAATCCGGCGACATAACCATTATGCCAGCTGCTAGTACTTGGAGGTGCTATTCTTATACCTACTATACGGCCAAGGAGACTGACTTGTTCAGTGCAGCAGCAAGTGGCCAAACTGGGGTTCAGAACTTCGGAGTCTAGCCTTTGAACAGGCCACCCTGCTGCTTCTTACTGAACTTTGCCTCTAAGCTGTCACAGCCCTGGGCAGCCTTGGGCTGCGCCTCGTCAAACTAACCTTATGCTTCATTCAAAATGTTACGGCCTACAAATTCCTTTCTAATGGCTTAAAAGAATAAAAATATGGAGCTAGCCTGCAGACTGGTGGTTAAGGGGCTGGATACCACACAGCCGACAGCAGCTTCAATCCCGGTCCTGGCAACTTGAGAAAGTCGCCAGGTGGGTGTGCCCCAAGTCCCCACAGGGTGGGGAAAAGACTGCGGCGTGACTATGCCCCACTGTGGAGTGTTTTCTTCCAATCTGTCTCTTGGTTTCTCTTTGGCGGACACACGTGCCTGCTGGCCAAAACAAATAAATAAAACCAAAGCACAGATGACGAGGACCACAGCAGCTCCCAGCAGGTTAATAAGCCTCGAACGCATTTTCCCAGGAGCACCTCCTTTGTGCCATTCATAGGAACAATAATGCCACCCCCGCCTGTGCCTAGGGCAGTGGGAGCATTAGTGGCTTGTGAGGAAGGCACCTTTTTCGCGGGTGTACTGCGGGCCGGAGAGATGACTAGTCCAGGTCACACCGGGTGTGCGGCAGAGCCCAGCCCGTCTGCCTGTGGAGCACGTTCACTGTCCTCCGTGTCACATTTAAGGGCATTTAAACGATACCAGGACTCAGAGGACGCCAGCGGCGGGGCAGCCCCAGAGGGCTCCCGAGGACCTGCAGCCCTGGAGGCTCCACGGGTGGCCGGCTGGCCAGGGACAGGCGAACCCTGGAGGCCTGTGGGAGGCGGCAGCACCGGAGTGGTGCCAAGTGGTGGGAAGGACACACAGGACACAGTGCGGGCAAGGAGGAAACGCAAATCTCCCGGCGTCTATTTTTTCAGATGGCATTTGCAGGGGATGAGCTAAGCGGAGGCTGCGCGGCCGAGACAGAGCCGGTCTGTGCAGCCGGGCCGTGAGTGGAGCAGCTGGCATTCCAGTAATAACTGCCCGGGAAACCGGAGCAGCCCCCAGGGAGCGCGGCGCACGGGGCGCTGGGGGGGTCGTTATGAAGTGTTTGAAGCGGGCAAGCCTCTCCCTCAGGCCCAGAGCATGACGCAGGGGCGCTTTTCAGGGAGGATGACAGCAGGGGGGCTGGTCTATTTCGGTAGATGGATCAGATGATGGGAGATTTTATACCACAAAATGCTTTTAGAGCTTGGATCAGAGGATAGGAAAATGTGACTTAAGTGCAGCAGAGCAAAAATAAAAAATAACCCCCCATACACACACAGGCGCGCGCGCGCACACACACACACACACACACACACACACACACACACACACAGGCACACTTCTGCATTCATCCGGACACGACTTGGAGGCTGAGTGCTTATGACTCAGATACACCGGCACCCGGTCGAAGCCTTTTACTAGGCTGGTCCAGAACAGCGCGAGACGATGCAGCCTTGAGGGACACGGTGAAACAGCCTGTGGGGAGACTGAGGCCCTGGGAGTACGGAGGCTGCAAAGTGACCAGCCATCACAGCACGGGTTACGGGGTTACTGTCAGCCTAGGGCTGGCTCTGAGGTGAGCTCCAGGAGTCCCATGCTGTCACCCTGCGCTATCCGGCTCAGGCCTCCCCGACAGTCACATTCATACAGGGTGAGGTGAAGCAGGGTCCTGAGGAGAGGGCTCTGGGGTTGACAGAAGGGAGGATCTAGAAACCCCTGCACCAGGGTGTGACCACCACAGTCCATCCGGCCTCCCTGGCCTCGAAGTCACTGGCTGAGGACCGCAACCCAGCAGGCTGACCACAGCCTGCTCTGGTGCTGTGGGTGTCTTGGATTTGGGCTTAACACCGGAGCAGGGAGGGCCCAGCAGATAACATGGTGGTTAAGGCACTAGACTCCCACATGGCAGACCATGGTTCAAGTCCCAGACACTAGTGGCTTGAAACTCACACTGGGCATGTGTGCATGTGTGCCCAAGATCCCAGGAAGAGAATGGAGAAGGAATTGTGGTGTGGCCATGCCCCGTGGGGGAGATTTCTCACTTTCCCTCTCACTGTCTCTCCCTGTGTCTTTAGCAAGCACACACCCTGTGGCAAAAACCTAAAAAACAAAACAAAAAGCACAACACTCGTGGCAGCGAGGGAATAGCCTCCCCCCGGCCCCCCGGCCCCCCGTCTACCCTTCCTTGGGTGATGTGGGCAAAAAGTGAACCCACAGACACGGGCTGAAGGACATGCTGAAGGGGTCTCGAGACCAGTCGGAGGGGAGGGCAGGGGCGCACGGGCAGAAGGGCAGACGGACTTGGCACCTCCCTGTCCTGGACAACGTGTGGGAACGAATAAACATAAAGAGAGTGAACCCCGTCCGCAGTGGAGTGAACCCCACTGGCTCCACAGCCTGGTGTTCTTCATGCGGGCGAGCCGGGAGGACAGGCTTTTGGGGCTGCACAGGGTGGGGTGGGGTGGGGTGGGGCGGGCACCTCCTGCTGCACACAGCAGGGGGTAAGGTGAGGACTGAGGACACCAGATCTTCAAGCTGCTGGGTCCTGGCCTCGAACCACTGTCGACTAAGTGGGAGTCCAGTGACATTACCATTACGCCAACTACCGGCCCCCAGAAGATTCTTAGAGTATGGAAACTGGTGCGTGGAGGGAGGGTGCACACCCAGTCCTGTGGGCCTCCGAAGCTGAGGCTCTCCGCAGAGTACCAGGGGCCTCCTGGCTCTGGCCTTTCTGGCCCTTGGCGCCTTCATCCATGGAGCCACCTCCCTTGCTGATCAGTGTCCCGCCAAGGTCGGCTGGAGTGCCCCGTGCAGAGTGGGTGCTCAGTGGGTGACACCGGTCCCATCTTGCATGAGACCACGAGGATCCCACCTTGCCGCTCAGACCTGGGGGTTGCTAAACCTCTCAGAGAAATGGGTAAAGGACCGACTGTTCCCCAGAGCAGGCCTGTGGAGGTGACACTGAGCAGAGGACAAGTTTTCACGGGATAGGACAGCGAGTGTCCCAGCCAGCACAGGCAGCGTCTCTGCAGGGCCTGGGCACTCTGGGAGCCCTGTGAAGGGACACAGCAGCCTCAGGCTGCCATGGAGCTGCGTGAGTGCCCGTGGCACACAGATAGGCCCAAATGCCTGTCCCTTGGTCCCTCGCCAATGCCGTGCTGGTGTTCCCACCAGCCCCCAGGTAGGGGACAACCTGG